CAGCTAATGCAGCAGCTCCCGCAACAACACCGGGGGACCTCCGGGCGAAGTTTGGGTCAACGTCAACCCTAAAAGCGGAGGTGCTGAAGACGCTAAATACCGCAGCTAAACACCAATCATACAACAGCAACGATGAAATAGTGTAGCCAAGGCAGCAGAGCTCTGAATATAGCTCTTGTCACTCTCTCACACACACACACTCACTCACACACACACACACACACACACACACACACACACACACACACACACACACACACACACACACACACACACACACACACACACACACACACACACACACACTAGGGCTGCTCGATTATGGCAATAATCAACATTATGTTGGTCAATAATTAATATCACGATTATTAAATATGATTATTCATTGACTTTGAAAACATCAATTTATTGAACTTTAAAACAAATAATAATTTGAACAGTATCTTTTTAACTGTTGATTACCCTGAACGTATAATTCAACTGAAAAACCAATACAAAAATTAATTAAATAAATGATACATTACTAAAAAAATTCATTAGATCAAATATGTTGTGGTGCACTGTCACAACCTAGCAAAGCAAAATAATCGTTTTTTCAGATTATTTTGTTTCGTAATTGTGGCAGGCCAAAATCGTAATTGCGATTAAAATATGATTAATTGCACAGCCCTAACACACACACAGACGCACACACATACACACTTTTTGTCTAACACGCTAACACAGTTCTGTACTGTTACGCTGTTGTGTTCAGTCATTGTTCTTATGTTGAACATGAATACATTTACTTTGTAAGTGATTATGGGACGTATTTCTTCTTTATATACATTTTCCTTCATACTTTATTGCCGTGAAATAGGTCTTAAATTCTATTAAAAGTGGTCTTAAAAAGGTGTTAAAAAGTCTTAAATTTGAGTTGGCGAAACCTGCAGGAACCCTGTACAATAAAAAGTCCTGCATTCAAAATGTTACAAGTAAAAGTACAAAAGTATTAGCATCAAAATATACTTAAAGTACCACCTGCAGAGGGATCTAGATTCAGGTGTTCTTTCCCCCACATGATCCCTTGCATAAAGATAGATTGTGGGTCCCTTATAACATGTTGTACACAGTGGAAATAAACATTCTGGTTACCTCAACATCAAGGCAAGGCAAGGCAAGGCAAGTTTATTTATATAGCACTTTTCAACACAAGGCAATTCAAAGTGCTTTACAAAAAATGAAAGAGATTAAGAAAATGGCATTTAAAATCAGTCATTAAAAAGAAAAGCTAATAAAATAAACATTAAAAGAAAAAAATACATGGCAGTCAATTAAACATTAAAAGAAAAAAGTACATGGATAAAAGTTACAGTGCAGTCTAAGATATGAATAGTTCAATTAAAAGCAGCGACAAAAAGAAAAGTCTTCAGCCTGGATTTAAAAGTAGTCAGAGTTGCAGCGGACCTGCAGGTTTCTGGGAGTTTGTTCCAGATATTTGGAGCATAATAACTGAACGCTGCTTCTCCATGTTTAGTTCTGACTCTGGGGACAGAAAGCTGACCAGTCTCTGAAGACCTGAGAGATCTGGATGGTTCATAATTTAGCAGGAGGTCAGAAATGTATTTTGGGCCTAAAGCATTCAGTGCTTTATAAACCAGCAGCAGTATTTTGAAATCTATTCTTTGACACACAGGAAGCCAGTGTAAAGACTTCAGAACAGGAGTGATGTGATCCACTTTCTTAGTGTTAGTGAGGACTCGAGCAGCGGCGTTCTGAATCAGCTGCAGCTTCCTAATATATGTTTTAGTGAGACCTGTGAAGACACCATTGCAGTAGTCGAGTCTACTGAAGATAAAAGCATGGACAAGTTTTTCCAAATCCTGCTGTGACATTAGTCTTTTAATCCTAGATATATTCTTTAGGTGATAGTAGGCTGATTTAGTAACTGTTTTAATGTGACTGTTGAAACTCAGGTCAGAGTCCATGACTACACCTACATTTCTGGCTTTATCTGTTGTTTTGAACATTGCACACTGAAGCTCAGCGCTAACTTTGATACGTTCTGCCTTGGCTCCAAAAACCATTACCTCAGTTTTATCTTTGTTGGAGAAATTGGAGAAAGTTCTGACACATCCAGTCATTGATTTGTTCAATGCACTTACTCAGTGTTTGAATTGGAGCATAGTCTCCTGGTGAAATTGTTACGTACATTTGTGTGTCATCTGCATAGCTATGGTAACTTATTTTGTTGTTCTTCATTATCTGAGCCAGTGGTAGCATGTAGATGTTAAAGAGAAGAGGCCCCAAGATGGAGCCTTGAGGAACCCCACATGTCATATTTGTCAACTCAGATGTGTATTTACCTATAGAAACAAAGTTGTTTCGGTCCTTTAAGTAGGATTCAAACCAATTAAGAACTGTTTCCGAAACTCCCACCAAGTTTTCCAGTCGGTCTAGTAATATGCTGTGGTCAACAGTGTCAAACGCAGCACTGAGATCTAATAATACTAACACTGAAGTTCTGCCACTGTCTGTGTTTAAGTGGATGTCATTAAAGACCTTTACAAGAGCAGTCTCAGTGCTGTGGTTTGGACGAAAGCCTGACTGGAACACATCAAAACAGTTATTTAAATGCAAGAAATTACTCAACTGTTGAAAAACAACTTTTTCAATGATTTTACCTAGAAATGGGAGGTTTGATATGGGCCTGTAATTGTTCATTACTGAAGCATCTAGATTATTCTTTTTTAAGAGCGGTTTAATGACTGCAGTTTTCAGGGCCTGTGGAAAAATACCTGAGTGAAGAGATTTGTTTACTATATGAAGTAGATCTGAGGCCATGCAAGGCAAAACATCTTTGAAAAATCCTGTTGGAATAATATCAAGGCAGCAGGAGGAGGATTTCAGAAGTTGAATAATGTCCTCTAGGTTTTTATCATTAATCTGATGGAATTGTGTCATGATGTCTGAATTGATGTTAAGTGGAGATAGGGACAACACATTTGCTGTTCCTGATGCAGAGGCACTGACCGCTTGTCTGATTTTCTGAATTTTGTCAGTGAAGGAGGCAAAATCATTGCACGCCCTGGTGGATAGAAATTCAGAGGCTACTGACACTGGGGGGTTAGTTAGTCTGTCGACGGTAGCAAACAAGGCACGTGCGTTGTTTTTGTTTTTGGTAATGATGTCAGAGAAGAACGATTGTCGTGCGTTTTACAATTCCAAATGATAAAAGCCAAGTCTCGGAGCAATGGCATCTATAACATTTTTAATTTTTGAATTAAAATGATCTACTAGCTCATTTACTGAGATCAGGGATCTTATACATTAAACTCCTTCTGAATCAAACCGTCACGGTACCCTTACCTTACTGATCCCTCTTAAATTAGAAAAACACACGTTACTTTACCAGCAGAGAGAAAATGGATTATTAAATGATTAATGTGACTAATAAAGAGCAGTTTGATTATTAAGTATTATTCTGTTGATCGATGTCATTACATTTGGTGAAAAACACATAATGACTTGTTTATGACTCGTTTTGTCAAAGTTTAGGACTTGACTTGACTTTAACTTGCCCATCCTGACTTGAGACTTGACTTGGACTTGCAAAACAATGACTTGAGACTTGACTCGGACTTGAGCGCAAAGACTTGAGACTTGACTCGGACTTGCAAAACAATGACTTGAGACTTGACTCGGACTTGAGCGCAAAGACTTGAGACTTGACTCGGACTTGCAAAACAATGACTTGGTCCCACCTCTGCCATCAAATATTCTTCTCATTCTCAGGCATTCCATTAGGAGGGTCAGGAACTCCCGCTTGGGACCACCAGTGTCCACTCCATCCTCAGTTTGTCCCTCATCGTCAGTAAACTTAACCTGCATCTGATGAGAGGGGTCCAATGAGGCCCGTTTGAAGCCGTGGATTGCTCCATCCCACACATTGGATCGGTTAATATTAAACCTGCTGCAAGAGGTATTTTTGATTTTTGCAGAGAGTTCTGCAACAACGTCTGGCGCAGTCAGGTATTCTGTGCTGGGAAAGACAAAGTGATGTAATGTAATATTACATGATGAAGCTAGTAATAGGATTTACAGTATATAATAAAAAAATGAAGTGGTAAAAGTAACAATTAATACCTTTCCTCTGCAGTTTGCTCCGTTTCCTCTTCTGGCTCAGACTGGCTGTCGATAATGATCGGAGCATACACAGTTGTGTAGTTGCTGCAGTGAGAAGACAGTTGAATAATTACTTTCAAATACATACTATATGCATGAGAGTCATATTTACAAAAGGATGTCAACACTATGGCAATGACAATGTCAAATGTATTGATGAAGCACATTTTAAAACAGTTGACCAAAGTGCTGTACAATTTATATAGTAAAAGTAAATGCAATAAAACAACACAATAAAACACACAAAAATAGAATATAATACTTTAGATTGCAGTTTTTTTAAATAGATGATGTGATACCCTTTGTTTCTGTTTCTGTTGCCTCATAAACCTGGGGTCTCCTCCTGCTCTTGCAATGGCACGTTATTCACAGTTTTTGACATGACCCCTGTCATTTTCCAGACCACGGTTTTAAATGTCCACTCTCCTAGTGTCACAGAATGGTCTGGGGCATCCATTCTGCTACACTACTCCCAAACTCTATAATGAAGCTCTGGTCTCTGGAAAGCGGTCACTTTGAATACAAGTCACGGTTTACTGAAGAACCTGTGTTGTATTATTACTTTTTTATCCTGCGGTTCTTTTGCTAAAACCAGTGAATGTGGAGCCTCTATAGACGTGTTTAGTTTTTAGCATTGTTTATAAGTGTGGCATAGTTGAACCTAACCATTTAGCATAGACTGACACATTTCCAGAAAATGCACATACGCAGGTGAATGTTATTAGTAAATGACTTGAATGCAGAGCTGATTCTTGTAAATATGTTATTGTGTAGCATTTTGAAAAAAGAATTGTGGCGCTGTTGCGTTCAGAATTCCAGAAAAGACAGACAACTTCTAAGTTTAACTATTTATTGTAAAGAGAGCAAAAGATATATATCACTTGGCCAAGGACTCGTCACGTCTCTGGGAATCACAGGCAGCAAAGCTGTAATCTGTAACCACCAAATCCGTCAAGAGCCTCGAACCTCTTGGGACAATACATTTTATTACACAGGGCGTTGCCCGTACATTTATGATTGGTTAAGACTAGCTGAAGAGATACCGTGGTTTAGACTTGGTTCTCTTTGGTTGGTGCGCAGACTCAGAGTCTCTTGGCAACACGATCCTCCAATCAGCATTCGGCCGGCCTGTGAAAGTCCCTCCCTACTCTGGCACCATCATACTCATTAGTTTTCTCTAATGTTGCTTCAGATATAGCGGGAAACCATAATGTTTCTTCAGATATAGCGGGAAGCCATAATGTTGCTTCAGATATAGCGGGAAACCATAATGTTGCTTCCTAGCTTTGCGGGGAGCTCCCATACAAAGTGAAGGCCGGTGCGATGTGCTGTTCTGACTACCTCTTTGTGTTCTCTCAGTCTCTGCACTCGACCTTGCTACTTTCAATATTGCAAGCTAAACACTTTCTCATGTAACTTTTCCCTTCGTTCCTGTCCACCCCATCAAAACTTGGGGGGGGGGGGTGATTGGGTCCATTTATTCCTAAGTCACAGCACATACAATGAGCACAATAAGCAAATAATGTAATAATAAGAATATTGTAATGTTATATAAAAATAGACTCCACAGCGCATATAAGATGAAGTCTACCGCTACAAGCCAAATGAATTGTAATAATATGATATAAAAATCTGTAAAAAAAATCTCATTGCTGCTAAGAACGTGTACAACAGACATTTTATTTAAGGGCAAGTTCTTAAAACAACAAGTCATTAACTAACCAATAAGTAATAAGTAACTTAAAGTACAAATGCAGTGATAAAGTCAAATGTATTTGATGTTCCTAACAATGAAGTAAAATAATCATGGTAAAGTAAAAAGCAAAGGCAATCAGGCATGTAAATAGCTTTTGTAGTTTGTTCTACATTTCTGTAACACTTTCTTTAATTGTGGTGTAGGTAAGACCTTTGTATACACCACTGGTGTCATACTGAAGCACGCTGCCATTATTGCAGGTTATTTTCACAGTGCCAGTGTAAGGCAGGTCAATGGTGGCTCGACCGATTGTAATGTCAGCTTTCACCTTCTTTCCTGCAGGAACATTTATGGTAAAGGATACCGTCTCCGTTCTCTCCTCAGTGTTTTCCAGATGGTAAGAGATCTCTGTTCCCATGGTAAAGCTGAATGTATCTGAAACCTCGATTACCTCTGGGATTCCTGCACTCACTTCCATACTGAAAGTTGCCTCCATACTGTTGGTCACAGTCCAAGAGGACTTCTTTGTAATCTTCTTGGAGGATTCAATCTGGTTGACTTGGTCGACTGTGGTGTTGTTGTCGTAGGTGATGGATTTGATTTCTTCTACCTTTACCTGGGGTGTAAGTTGGCTCATTGTTGGGTAGTTGACGTTCATCAAAACCGTTGACTGGACAGCAGTGAGGAACATGAAGCCCATGCAGTCAATGTCACTGCCACATCTTCCAACAACCCCGAAGCAGATTCCAGAGCCAACATCAATGGGGTATTCTGTCTGCAATCCCAAGCTGGTCATTTTGGCGAAGAACTCTCCGGAACGATTTGTCTTGAATTTGATGGCTCCTAGACGAGTACCTGCTCCATTCCCCCACAGCGACAGAGAGGTGAAACACTCCCCAGGCTGAAATATATACTCTTGACTAGAACCAGATCGTTGCCCAAAAAGTTCTTGACGTCCATCTGTGAGGAAGACTTGGACCCCCCTCACCTGCGAGCCCCCTACCCACACATTCAGCTGCTTTAGCGTGGCTCCATTACTCTCTCCAGTCAAGGAAAACGAGTGACCACCGTGGCCACCGATTCTATGCAAGGTTATTGGATAAGCCATCTTGTAGGTTTTAGATAAGATCTGAAATGGAAATGTTCAGTTAAATACCACTGCTTTAAACATTTAAATCATGTTTTTTTTGTATTATTAGATGCTATTTAAAAAATGCATTTAATACAATGTTTGTAATAATTTTTCAGTATTTTGCACATCATTTATTTGTTACATAAACAATTCCAAATACACTTCCAGCCGACATTGAGGACATACTAGTAGGGGTAGTTTTCGTTTTGCATGTCTGAAGCTCCATGTAATGCAATGAGGCTATTTGACAGGCCTTATACCTTCCTGCCTCACATGATTAAAAGTGGCATAGAATATATTTCAGTGGGAATATATGATTTTGTTAGTTGTTTTGTTTTGCTGATTAAATGTTGGTTCTAACTTTTTAAGTAATACATTAATGTTCTATATAGGACTGTGCTACTCATACATCTAGGTATTTGTTATTAAAACTTGTGAAATGTTTTTTCATAAATAACTAAATGCATTGCATTGCGGGTTCACTTTCATGAGTTATTTCTTTCTATACATTTATTTTGTTTTATCTTATAACAATCTAATACTGTTATTAAATCAAATTAGTCATTTTATTAAAATACCGTAACATTTAAATTGCATTTGTAGTAAAATAACACCTTTATACATTCTGGAAAAAGCTCGTCACTTTGGTAAGGTATACCTATACCAAGGTGGTATACTAAGGAACACAAATAAATAAAATACCGTGTATAAAGTACCGATTTAAATAGCCTACATTGAGGGTTAAATAAATATGTGCTTTTTAATGTAGGCTACCTTCAGAAAAGGGAAGGCCTATATACCACCCCAGAAGCCTACATTTTACTTATCTTCTTACGTTTTTATTTGGTGGACATATCAAGGGGTTCCCCCTAAAACTAGAATATTTGACTATTCGATCTAAGGAACCTGCTTTCATTGCCAATAATCTCATAGTCCAACTGTTGCAAGATTTGGTTACGAAACATGGATTATTCTCTTCTGGCTGTGCCTGCTAAATGTCTGATTTAGACTCGATAGAATTCTGCGGCGGAGTATGGCCCAACTAAAAGTTGTGAACTATATTAAGTTGTTAATATAGAATATAGTATGTTGACCGAAGAAGTCAGAGGACTTAAGGTGCAGAATAAGCCCAACAACAGGGATCTTAACACATTCAATTACGTTAAATCAATGCATTTTATATTTAGGGGTGAAACTTTGAACTGGCCCTGGCTGGCAATGCCAAGTGATCTAAACAATTAATCATTATTTAAAAGGTGTCGCTTCAAGCCTCAGTGTTATCCTCCCTCCGCCTTCCAATAATCATGTAGTCTCTAATTATGATTTGGTTTATTATTATTATTTATTAATTTAGTTGGTTAGTTAGTTATATTTTATTTATACAGGGGTAACCGACTGAGACCAGGTCTCTTTTCCAGGAGTGCCCTGTGAAAAGGCAGAATATATAGATTATTTGTACCTCCTCCGCTCAGTTTCAGTACTATGGACAGGACCTACACACATTAAACAGCCCTGTCCATGATTCTGAAACAACAGCTAAGCTATAGTCACATGTATCTTATCATTTATTTTCACGTTTTAGCTATTTTCAACCACATCGTTTATGTTTGCTTCAACAGCAATCTGGATTAATTCGCAATGGTGACGGCCTCAGGGTAGAGGTTTGACCCTGAGACAGCATAAGTGGCAAATCTGATTGGATAAATCTTTATTTTATGAGCTGCACTAGCTGCACAATTGAGGAAGAGAGTAGCAATAAATCATGCTAATTTACTGATGGGAACAAACTTAGTAAAATACACAATTCATTCAAATTCCAAATGTATTAAATTATTATAATTTTCTATACATCTATTGGCCAGCAAACATGAGGGTCTGCCTCCGGTTTTAAGTAATGCTACGTTTAAGGTGTACTTTGGATTTATTTAGAGTCAACTATTTAGAGTCATAGGCACAGAGTATCCTATTTAATTAGAAAAAACTAATATTCAAACATTTCTTACCTTAATTGGTGTGCTTTTGAAGATTTGAAACCGATTCTTTAGGTTGAAGTCAACTTATTCGTTTAGGATACGGTTTAATAAAATGTGTGAGCTGGAATTATTACAAGCAACTAGTTTGAACAAGTCTGTATATGAATGTTGATAATCAAAGGTGATGCTCTAATATTTATATTTCAGGCAGGCCACACCCATAATACTGAGGGTTCTTGCCATTGGTTAATACATTGCATAGGCTTTGTTTATTTGAGCTACAAAGTGTGATGGGGTGGACTTGGGAGGTGTTGCAAGACCAAAGACCATTCCCATATTTGGGCATTGGAGGCTTGTTTAATGTTTTACTGTACATTTAGCAAAATATGCAATATCTATGATTCATAAAGGAAAGCATCATATCTAAAATCATATTTATATTTTCCTTAGATACAATAAATATATTTAAAATCTAAAGACATTTTACGTGTCAAACAGCGAAAGCAACAGTCAAATGCCATTATCGGTTCAAACTAAATTAAAGAATACAAAAAAAAAAATAATATCAGATGAAGGATTGAATAGATAATTTCAGAGTGAACACGGAAATCCCTAACATCTTGACATTAGGCAATCATGCTTTGCAAATACATTCCTGCAAATACACTGTAGAATTGTAGGAATGTCCAATTAACTTTATTTGTTCTCTCAAATTGTAGGAATGTCCAATTAACTTTATTTGTTCTCTCAAATTGTAGGAATGTCCAATTAACTTTATTTGTTCTCTCAAATTGTAGGAATGTCCAATTCACTTTATTTATTCTCTCAAATTGTAGGAATGTCCTATTCACTTTATTTATTCTCTCAAATTGTAGGAATGTCCTATTCACTTTATTTGTTCTCTCAAATTGTAGGAATGTCCAATTCACTTTATTTGTTCTCTCAAATTGTAGGAATGTCCTATTCACTTTATTTGTTCTCTCAAATTGTGGGTAGATAGAGAACAATTGTACACATTGTTTTTTTTAATGACAGCTTCTCTAAAGTCAACTAGTTATTTTCTTTATTATTCAAATTATGCAAGCATGATTTATCAAATAATTTCCCATATTCCACCAGTGTGATGATGTGACATATGCAAAGATTTGGGAGCAAGTGACATTGTAGTGTCATTGGGGGGGTTCTTAAAGGGATTGTGAGCTTCGCACAAATGTATCCGGATGTTGCAATGATCTTGTACTAGCCAAGAATATGAGGCTATATGCCAGGCTGGGAGGAGGTAACGCTCGACCCTGGCAAAAATGAAGCCCCGGGGAGCTTAAGTGTAGGTTCAGGTCCCACAATTGAGACCACCAGATATAAAAAAAGAAGCAATCTAGACCACGTCCTCTATTTCGACATCTTGGGAGGGACTATATTGCAGCATACATACAGCAAGCCCTGAGTTTGTGTAATGGCTGAGTCAGAATAAAGTGGTGGGCCACTCCCTGTATACTGCATCTGGATACAACAACTAAGCATATAGTTCAAGACCATTTCAAAACCTTTTTTGACCGTTTCCGCATTCTACATGTATGTGAGGAAGGGGAGAGAGGGTGTTGGAACTTGGAATTCTCTCTGCAACTTCGACATTAACTTTAAACTCTCTGTCAGCACACACACACACACACACACACACACACACACACACACACACACACACACACACACACACACACACACACACACCACACACACACACACACACACACACACACACACACACACACACACACACACACACACACACACATACGGGTTTTTGTGAACTAAAAGGACACTTTGACCCAAACACGTTTTTTTCCTTCATTAGAAGGACACCCCTTTCCACTAGCTTTACAAAGATGTTTTGAATATCAAAAAATCTATTTTGAGCCATACAACACAAATCCCACTTCAAATGTCCAATACACACATCACAACTCAAAATACAACAACCTGACACCATGCTTAATTATGAGGACAGCAGATAATGAGCTGCATAAGCCCCGCCCATGACAACATTGTTATTTGTGAGGACAGTAGCTATACAACACACAAACATGTCACTGAAGTGTATTAAAGGGACAAACATGATTAAATGGAACATAACTTTACACAGACAAGTGTTGGATTGTGCATTACAAGAACAAACCTTTTATAAACGGACAAAATGTATACAACATAGGAATACCTGATTTGTGATGTAATATTTTAATAGACAATATAGTGCACCATAGATATATAGCTTACAAGTATGTTAATGTGTTTGGTTATTGCTTGCCTCCTGTTTGCAATCTGTTGTTTTCATGCAAATGTAGAACCACATTCTAATACTCTCCAGTGGTATACTACAAGCAGGTCTTCCGAGACGAATTAAATCCATTTGCAAGTAAATGCTTATATTTGCAGCACTGCTAATTGCAATTACATCATCGATATGAAAAGAACCGATAACCATTTTATAGCAAAGTGACCGAACTGGTTTAACACTAATACAAAATGCTATTTGCCCTACAAGACTGCTCATCTACTGGAGCATTACCTTTTAAAAGCTGATAGAAAAGGACACATGGCACATTGCACAGTGAACAATGAGCCAAGTTTAATGGTTATTTTCACATAACATTTTCTCACATGAAAATTGAGCTAAGACTAAATATTTATTATTTTAAACATATAACTCTCCTTCCAGCATTACCTTGGTACGACAGAGGATTAGGGCCACACAAAAGAAAAGATAGAAGAATAAAGTCATAATTACGAGATTAAAGTCGCTATGTTCGGAGAATAAAGATGAAATTATCCCGGGGGCTGAGGGGTCGTTGCAGCAGATCTTCAAGAAAGTTATATTGACAGATTGGAACTGGAACGGATCAATAACTCATAAACAAAACGTTGCTAAAACACAAACTAACTACCGTAATAAGGTAAACAACTATCCACAATCCAATTTAATCAAAACAACCTCACACCCGCCGCCCTCTGAGCTGGACACATCACACAGGTGTCTGTCTGCAGCCGAAGGAGAGAGGAGGGGTCAGGGACCGTCTACAAAGTGCAACACTGAAAAAAATACTGCAAATAAACTAAAACCACCTATTTTCGCAAAGTTGCATGTGTAGTTTAAGCAACAGTATATTATTGTGTGATTTAAAATGTGATGTTTTATAGCTTTATAACAGAGGAGTTATTGAGTATATCTTTATTCAGTGTTGCACTTCGTAGACGGTCCCTGACCCCTCCTCTCTCCTCCAGCTGCAGACAGAGGACACCTGTGTGATGTGTCCAGCTCAGAGGGCGGCGGTGTGAACGGTAGTTAGTTTCTGTTTTAGCAACGTTTTGTTTATGAGTGTTTGATCCGTGAAGTTCCAATCCTTCAATATAACTATCTGCTGCAACGACCCCTCAGCCCCCGGAATGATTTCATCTTTATTCTCCTAACATAACAGCTTTAATCTCGTAATTATCCTTATAATAAAACATTGCTCCTACATGTAACATAATAATGAAGTTGAACTGTGAACTGTCCTCATTGCATGTTCGATTACATTTCATCATCATTTGTGTAGCAGTGCTTTTTTCTTCTGAGTCGTGCCTTGGCTCCTGACGAAGTCTCTAATATTTTGCTCCGGGACTTAGTACCCCAGGGCACTAAGCTCTTGTTGTGAGTTAACAACACAATCAGGTAGAAAGACACTGATTATAGTATTTAATATCTAAAGAGTATGATCATTCAGTTTAACATTAAGAAGAAAAACAGCATTGACACACAGTCCTCTTAGTGTCTAAAGCGGTCCAGTAGAGTGATACACAGGACCTGTGTATCGAACCTCAGCATTCAAATCCAGTCTTCATGGTTTATAACTTGAAATAAATATGTAACTAATACCAACATTAGCCGCGTTCACACCAAGTACTTTGCCGTACTTAGTGCCCCCAGCACTTAGTACAGATCGCGTTCACACCGGAATAAGTTCCCTGAGGGAAGATTACGCAAATGAGCCGCTGAAGTCACTTCGTCTTCTTCTGCCTTGGGTATACTGGCAGGCCGCAAACAGCTTCACGGCGTATACTGCCACCCGAAGTCCCCGGCCGGAAGTCCCCGGAGTTGGGGAAGGCTTCAGTAGAAGCTGCTGGGAGTCCCAGCAGCTTCTACTGAAGCGTTCCGAGTAAATCGCCAGAACGCCGACACCTCCTTATCTCCACCGCTCCCATGTTTTATTTTGTGTTTCCATAAGTTAATCTCTCTGCATTTGCGCTGGGCGAATGCTAATGCTAATAATGCTAACGCGAGGATAATAAAATGGCGGCTCTACAAAACATTTCAGAGTTTTACGGGGCGGGGTTTGCAATTCGACCAGCCAATCAGAACTGGGGCACTTTTTTCCCCCAGGAAAGTACCATCTCTCAGCAGGCACTAAAAATGGGGGTAAAAGTTCCCGGCTTGAAGTACTCTTTTTGGTGTGAACGCCACATAAGCAGTAGTAACGGAACTAAACGTGAAAAGTACGGGGAAAAGTAGTCCGGTGTGAACGCAGCTATTGAGTTGTGGTTAACTCACCTGTTGAATGTCATCATAGTGGGACTCAGATGTCATGGCAGCATCTTCATGCAGAGTCTCTGCCTCAGTGGAAATATTGTGAATGAAGAAGGACCAAGTTTAATCACTAGACATCCAGAGTAGTATACAAATGCTTTACTGGCTCTTGTTCTGAGTTAACAACACAATCAGGTAGAAAGACACTGATTATAGTGTTTAATATTTAAAGAGTATGATCATTCAGTTTAACATTAAGAAGAAAAACAACATTGACACACAGTCCTCTTAGTGTCTAAAGCGGTCCAGTAGAGTGATACACAGGACCTGTGTATCGAACCTCAGCATTCAAATCCAGTCTTCATGGTTTATAACTTGAAATAAACATGTAACTAATACCAACATTAGCCGCGTTCACACCAAGTACTTTGCCGTACTTAGTGCCGGCACCAAGTACTTTGCCGTACTTAGTGCCGGCACTTAGTGCTCCGGCACTTAGTACCCCAGGGCACTAAGCTCTTGTTCTGAGTTAACAACACAATCAGGTAGAAAGACACTGATTATAGTATTTAATATCTAAAGAGTATGATCATTCAGTTTAACGTTAAGAAGAAAAACAGCATTGACACACAGTCCTCTTAGTGTCTAAAGCGGTCCAGTAGAGTGATACACAGGACCCGTGTATCGAACCTCACAATTCAAATCTAGTCTTCATGGTTTATAACTGGAAATAAATATGTAACTAATACCAACATTAGCCGTGTTCACACCAAGTACTTTGCCGTACTTAGTGCCGGCACTTAGTGCCCCGGCACTTAGTACAGATCGCGTTCACACCGGAATAAGTTCCCTGAGGGAAGATTACGCAAATGAGCCG